TTTTTTCAAATTGTTTGACATATGGGATAATTATCTAGTAACTATTCTTGTTTCTCATTTTTATAGTAATTATAATCTACAATAAACACGTAAATATAACATAAGTAAGAGTAAGATTATCCATTTCTCGAATGTGGTATGAACATTAAAGAAAGAAAACTCAAGTTTTTAGCACATCCAATTTATTAAAATTCAAAAATATCGGCTACTAGTTTCGGCCCTTATGGCCATCACTAGGTCTACAATGAAAAACATGTGTGACAAACTATTGGTGTCAAAAATTGTTAATTGATACATTAAAAACTAAATCAAATATATATGATTAAAAACATAGCATCAAGATGGGCAAAAAATAAATGTTTAAAATGGCATTCCTTGGTTATAGATATACCATTTGACTTCATACCTACTTGCCTTTACAGCCGGTTGGGAAAGATTATTTAACAATATGAACAGAACTTATGTACAATTTTTTTTTTCTTTGGTGTACGGCTTCAACATCTAAGGTCATTAGCCTAGTGTTCTATGTAGGTTATGGATTGTACTAGTAGTCTAATACTCCATAGTGCAGGAGTATTAGTACTCAATACTCCTACACTCCTACAGATAGGCCTTGTTACTGTTTCCTTGCGCCTCTTTAGGAACAGCACTGTTAATTAGAACCCAACAGTGAATGGTCGAGTGGCGAATCCTACCAAGGCATCAGAATTAATTTTAAATAATTAAATTCAATAAAAAAAATCTCGGCCAACGGTGGGATTCGAACCTGGGACCCTTGATCCACAGGCAGAGACTACCACTGAGCCACCCAACCCCTACAATTTAACATTAATTTTGGTAAAAATGCAGTTTATAGAGAACGCGCGCATTGCTAATTTTTTAAATTTATGTGGAAGTATGTTTTTGGAAACTTAAAAACTAAAAAAAAATCTTTACGGTCACTTATTTTAATGAATTTGATCACTTAAAATTTTCACTTTTCCACTTGTGTTCTATTGTGTATTCTATTTGCCAATATAGGTGACGTTTTTGTACTAGTTTACGGCGATTATTAATGTTTATAGTGACATGATATACTGTTGATAGCAGATTTCGAATATTTTTTTTCTACACCCACATGGATATTAGCGCACAGACTACAAAACGAAAAAGTATGCTATTGCGTTCAACTGAACGAATATATTTCATAACCATTCTAGGTAGTGAGAACACTGCAAAAGATAAAATCCACCAATCACAGTTCTTTTGGACTCCTAACTACTATTATTTCTAAAATTTTAAACAAGTGACAATTCTGTCAAACTAATTGTCAGTATATTTTTTAGTTATTGAGATTAAATATACATTAAAATGAGTTATTCTTGTGTAGAATTGATACATTTTTATTTAGCCCACAAAAAAAAAAATTAATCACACTACATGAAACCAGTTTAATTACGCGAATTAAAACTGAAATCCGAAAAATGGCGGTGGGGATGAGGATAGAGCATCTGCCTTTCACGCGAAAAGCCTAGCATCCAATCTGGGCTGGGTACTAATTAAATTAAACCTTTTTTTTTTATGTTTATTTTATAAATTAGTACAACTCATAAATTATTTTAAAATTAGTTATTTTGTTTTAACAACCTAAAATGATTTTTTAAATTTGGTGATTTTTGTTAGTGGGTCGTAGAAAAAATATACTGTACAACTCGAGTGGATTGTCCATATCCACTCTTGTAGCACAATAGTAGTTTGAGCCCGACGACGTAGGCGGAGTGCTCAATCGCCCGAGTGGGATATGGACAGTCCACTCGAGTTGTACAATATAACAAAAATTTACAAATTTAAAAAAATATTCCTATGTTATTAAGACAAAATAACTAATTTTAAAATTGCTTATGAATTTGACTAATTTATAAAATAAAATAAACAAAAAAAAAAGATTTAATATAATTAGTCCCCAGCCCAGATTCGAACCCGGGGTTTTCGTAGACAGATCCTCTGTCCTCACCTCTACCGCCACTTTTATGATTTTAGTTTTATTACATTAAATTAAATTAGTTTCATATAGTTTGATTAAAATTTAAATGTTTTTTCAAAATCTGGACCAAATAAAAATAAAAAAGCCATATTTATCGATTCTACACAAAAATAACTAATTTTAATGTATATTTGATCTCAATAACTAAAAAATATATTGATAATTAGTTTGACAGAATTGTCACTTAAAGTTTTAAAAATAATAGTAGTTGGGTGTCCAAAATATGAACTGTGATTGGTGGATTTCATTTTTTGCAGGGTTCTCACTACCTAGAATGGATATAAAATATATTCGTTCAATTGAACACAATAACATACTTTTTCGTTTTAGCTAATATCCATGTGGGTGTAGAAAAACTACTATTTCTAATTTTTAATTTCTGATGGTTTTCTTTTGATAATAAATTTTATAAATTTAGATGATACATGACCTAATAATAATAATAAAATTATATCGCAAGGGTCTAATACTCGAAAATAATGAAATAAAATGTTTAGTAGATAAAACTGTGATGGTTATTTTTTTGATTCTGGTTTGGGATTTATGTGATGCTGCATAGGCATTGGAGCATTCTAATGATATTGAAGAAAAAGATGATGGTGAAGGCGGTAGTGAATATAGGGGTTATGAATTTTTTGTTAGGTAAATTATACAGGGTTTCCCAAAATTCCGTGTGTACAAAGCTACTGTATGTTGGTGAGATGAAAATAAGTTGATTGTGCCGAAATTACCTATATCACAAAGTGCTTCGTTTGCCACTGAGGAAGCTTCAAAGTTAAAAAAAAAAACTTTAATTTTTTTTAATTACTCAAAATCGCTTTGTTCGTTTTTTATAAATTTAGTATGTAGCTACTTTAATTGAAGAGCCATTGATCAAAGCAAAAATTACACAAACTGAATTCATGGAAGGGTAAAAACCACCCAATCCTACCATAAATGACATTGTATATCTTTTGAGGGCCGCACCTTTTCCCTCAATTTTTTTATGAAGAGGTGTATTCATTTGAATAATTTTTATCTGTTGTAAAAAAACATGTATCTCATCGAATTTGAGTAAAAAAAAAATATTGATTGATGGTTAGCGACTTAAAATTTTCAAGAAAACTAAGTTGGCGGTTGTCAACGTTACTAACAAAAAATTGATAATTTTGACAAATATGGTGTAGAACTGTAAAAATTGTCGATACTTCTCATTTTATGTATTGATTTTTTGTTTCGCTCCAAATTTCTTGTGAAGGAGTTATTTTAAATATTTTGTGGCTGGTATGGAGTACACATTTAATGAACAAACTGATATGTTGCTAGTGTTTGGTTTCTGTAATGGCAACTGTCGTAAGAGTGTTCGGGTATACCATGAAAGATTCCGAATCACCAGACTTTTGCTATCGAGAGGCGACTTCGAGAAACTGGTTAACTGAAATTGAACAGTAACAATGTTGTACGACCTAGTGAAGCCAGCATTCCTGCTGCAGAGGAGGGAATACTTGAAATTGTTGAAAATAATCCCGGAATTAGTACCCGATGATTGGCACGCCAAACTATGGTTTCAAAAAGCACATCCAACAGAATAATTAGAGAACAACTTATTTACCCCTGTCACAATCAAAGTGTCCAGGAACTCCTGATTATGAGTCTCGTTTGCATTTTCTACAAGTCATTCAAGAGCGCAGAGTGGCCGATCCAGTTTTTAACAGAAACTATTTGTTTACAGACGAGTCATGCTTTACACGACTTGGTATAACAAATGTACATAACGAATATGTTTACGCAAATGAAAAATGAAAATCCATATTCCATTAAAGAGAAAAAATTTTAACGAGAGTTTAAAATTAATGTATGGGTTGGTATTATTGACACCTACTTGATTGGTCTATTTAGATTGCCAGATCATCTTAACGGTGACAGTTACTTACATTTTCTAAAGATTGATTGGCAGAGGCCGGGATGCTCCTTTTCAGTGGCCACCTCGATCACCGGACTGTAATCCATGTGATTATTTTATATGGGGTCACTTGAAAACCAAAGTTTATGAAGTTCCTATCGACAACATTGAACAATTATTATGGGGTAGGATTTAAAATGTTGTGAACTATATTCGAAATGATCTAGTCATTTTGAGAAGGGTACACTTCAAATTCTTGCGCCGAATTGAAATCTGCATGAACGAAGGAGGCGGCTATATTGAACATTTATTGTAAAAAAATTATCTTTCTCTTTGAATTGTTATTTTTCATTAGATACCTATGCCTGTTGGTGATTTTTTTTATTGTAATAACGTTAAAATCGACAGTAGTTGTAACCACCAACTTATCTTTCTGAAAAATTTTAAGTCACTAAACATCTGTCCATAAAATATTTGTTTTACTCAAATACCATGAGAGATAAATATTTTTTGCAAGAGACAATAATGCTACAAATGAATACAGCTCTCCATAAAAAAAATTAAGGAACAGAGACCCTGGTAGGATAAGAGTGCTTTGAACAATGACTCTTCAGTTAAAATAGCTACATACCAAATTTTATAAAAATCGAACGAAGCGTTTTTGAGTTATTAATTAAAATTGAAAATTTTCTTTCAACTTTGAGGCTTCCTCATGGGGCAAACGAATCACTTTGTGATATAGGTAACTTGCCCTAATCGATTTATGTTGATCTCACATACAGTTGCTCTATGTACACGGAATTTTGGGACACTCTGTATATAAGTCTGTTTTTTAGTTTTTGTCATTAGTTAAATAATACAAGCCAGCCTACACGCATTACACCGTTTCGGTTATAAGTAAAGACTGATTCAGTTGTGTAAAAAAGTAACACTTTTAAGGCAATTACGAAGTCAAACGTTATAAATATGTTCAAACTATAAATCCCAAGTAATTTCTACATTATTTTACTGTTTTTTTTTTTGTTTCAGCAGCACAACCCCGATTATGTAACACTACCTAAATTGAAAAGGCATTAATATCGGAAATACTTCACGATGCCTCTTCCAAAACGGGTGATAGAACCCGTGTACGTAACCAGGGGCACGTTACCGGAAGATTATCCATTGCCATCGGAACTAGAAGCCGTCACGAATGGAACTTTGGCTAATACCGTTCGACAACTTTCTTCGCTCTCTAGGTTAGTTTCTATTTGTTCAAAATTAAATCGGCTAGTGTAGGTATTTAATAAAAGCCTACACCCGTCATTCGATTTGTAACAGACTTCGTACTTTAAATATGATAGCTATAACTATATTTGCAGCTAATGTTAGATAAATACAAACTTCCCAAATAAAAAATAACCTAGTCTGATTATAATACATTCGTTAAATAAAGTAGTAGTTGTGGTAATTTAAATTTTTTTCCAATAATTGTAGAATTTGTAAGTTAGGTTCAAAAATCTGTACAAGCTCGAATATCCCTAAAAACTTCTTTGGCATCGTCCGTTTTAATACGATTAAATTCCGATATTTTTTTTTTTTTTATTCTCGAATCAGGAAAATATTGCTTGATAACTTCACTTAGATGATCCATTACCAGAAAAGGTACATTACGCTCTACAAGTCCAGAAACTATTTTAATTTCGACCGTTTTTATTTCATCTGAAACTCTTGACATTTTCGAAGAACTTGTCAATCTAAAACCAAAAGTTTTTCCTGTTGTTTTGATTAGAGATAGTCTTTAGCGAAGACAAACCTTATAAGTGCCAGTTAATTCTGAAATATGCTTTTTATGTTTCGCACAAACATTATGCTCTTTTAGTGAAGCAATTTTTGATTGTTTTTTCATTACCTGGCTATACAATAGCCACTATACCCATAGATGAAAATAATGGGTTTGTTTCCATTTCGCTTGGTAGAACTGTTCAAAACATTATATCCACTACACTATAAACAAAAGCAATCGTATCAAGTAAATTTAAACCGCGAATAAATTTCAAAAATCGATCTTTTTTTCTATTAATCGATTATTTTAGATTAATCGGATATTTTCGATTTTTTAAAGATACTTATTAAATTTGTTTTCAAACACTATTACTGTAACTAACTTGAAAAGATTTTAAGGTGAAGGGGGAGAAAAAGTCCTTTATATCTCACAAGGAAAGTCAATGTTTAATTATTTAACAAAACATTGAGTGCGACCGGTTTCGAAGTGTCATCACTTCATCTTCAGGCTCGCCTAGTGGAAAGGAGAATATGTGGTGTAAGGTGTGTTAACACTTAGAGCAAACGATATATAAATTAGTAAAAAAGAGAAAACTCACCATACTCTCCATCCACTAGGGAATACTACAAAACAAGTTTCATCAAATGTGGGGTGAAATAAATTGTAAAATGAACAAAGTTTACAAGTAATAAAAAGTTAAAAATATTTGAAAAACAAATATTAGTCAATTGAAATAGTAAAATTTAAAATATTCAAGACTATACAAAACAAATCACATACATTAAACAGATTAAACGACGGATGTGAAATCACACAATCTAACCTAATCTTTTCTTCTTTTATTCTTCAGTTGCTTCAAAACAGTTAACCCAGTCATCTCTTCTTCTTTCTTCTTCCTACAACATCACATACACTTGGTGATTGGTTCATGGCCCAAATCTTATATAATAAATAATAAATATTTCTTCACTCATAGTTTACATCTTATTACCTATACCCTGTCATGGGTTTACCCAAGAATTTTTTTGTTAATACTTGCCACCACCTGAAGAGGCCTTAACTTGACAGGTCTCCTTTCAAAAATGTTAGTTTTTTGAAAAAACAAGGTTGTTTAAAATAATCTGTTTAATGTATGTGATTTGTTTTGTATAGTCTTGAATATTTTAAATTTTACTATTTCAATTGACTAATATTTGTTTTTCAAATATTTTTAACTTTTTATTACTTGTAAACTTTGTTCATTTTACAATTTATTTCACCCCACATTTGATGAAACTTGTTTTATAGTATTCCCTAGTGGATGGAGAGTATGGTGAGTTTTCTCTTTTTTACTAATTTATATATCGTTTGCTCTAAGTGTTAACACACCTTACACCACATATTCTCCTTTCCACTAGGCTAGCCTGAAGATGAAGTGATGACACTTCGAAACCGGTCGCACTCAATGTTTTGCTAAATAATTAAACATTGACTTTCCTTGTGAGATATAAAGGACTTTTTCTCCCCCTTCACCTTAAAATTACCTCAACTCACACATGGCTACCCCCCTTGTCAACTTGAAAAGAATCGATTAATCGAAATGAATCGAATAATTGAAAATAGATTAATTGAAAAAAATCGATTAATCGAATTTAGTAGATAAATCGAAAAAATCTACTGTTCAAAAATTTCGATTAATCGTAAAAAATCAATCGAAAAAAATCAAATAATCGAAAGAATCGATTAATCGAAAAAATCTATTAATTTAATTAATCTAATCTAATTAAAGGACCGGTTATTTTTAAGTAATGGATTAATCGAAAATAACCAATTATTTTAAATAATCGATGATCGATTATTTATTTTGATGATCAAACAGCCCTAATTATAATGTAATCTTTTTACCAAAACAATTATTTAAATAGAAAGTTTTATTTAAGTAATTTTTTTAAATTAAAATTACCAAAAAATTATCTTTTAAAACTAGCCAAAAGAGCTGAAAATCTAAAAAAAAGCAGAAATCTGCTAAATGTGGCAACGCTAAATCAAAAACCCTCAGTCAGAGTGACCAAGCGTAACGAATAGTCGTTGGACCAAGCGAAATTAACTGTCGTGACGTAATCTATGTGCGATGCACCAAATGATGCTAAAAATAGCGTGGTTTCAAGCAGACACGCATCTGTTGTCATCTCTAACTGTAAGTATTTGCTGAAACCTCTCGCCTTTAATCAGCCTATTGAACTGACAGACTCGATCAGTCAGCACAGTGGGGTAATAAAAAAGTAGAGATTAACGGGTACGAGAATAATAAGTATATTAAAATTGAATTTATATTTTTAGGTTAATTATGTGATGTTAAAATAATGTGTTTTTATGAAATTTAACTGGGTGTTCACTGCACAAATGAACCAATGAAGAAACCGCCCCTGTCTAGTAGTTTTTTGTCTTTGTTTTCTTACACATTAAATTGACAATTCTCAGTTTTCTAATGTCAAAATTAATATTTGTAAAAATATGATTTATTATTTACGTAATAATACGCTAAATTAGTGATTTTGGTTCCACTAACAATTACAGTGACAGTATTTTCTTTGAATGCGTTTTGATCGTTTTGTTTACCTAAGTTAAATCGTTTTTAAACTATAATAAATATTTCTAGAGTAAGTAGATAACATGCATCAAGTATATAATCATTTAGTAACCTATTACATACCTTTAAACTACTTTTCATGACCTACAAAAAATAATTAATAAAACTTTAAAAACAGTAAAAACGTATATGTCAAATATTGTTTAAAGTTTGATTAGAATGAACTGTCAGTCGAACCAAAATTACGTTCTACTTTTATAGTTTAATACATGCAAATGAGTGTTAGTAGCCTGTATATACAATTCGTTTTCTTTTCAAGTCAGGGTTGATTATTAAAATAAAACATTGTTATTTCTTAGATGTAGTAAGAAGTGGCGGCTTGTTACCAAAATATTGAGGGTTCACAATGACAGAATATAGATCTCGGTACAGATTTAGGTAAAAAAAGTTTTATTCTTTTAGAAAAGTATATTATAAATACTGAAAGTTTTTTACCTAAATATGTACTGAACCTCCAATATTTTAGTCACCAGCCGCCACTGGTAATAAGATTGACACTAAAGTTCTTCGCCAAAGGCTAAACAAATAACACAGCGGGAAATTTGAAAACCTGATAATTAAGGTTGTATAAATATCGATTGCATTCTATGTTCTGGTAAATAAAATTAAACAATGTAATAACGCTAATTATGTATTAAAAAGAATACTACACTTACAGTCTATTATCGATTAATTATTGTAGATCTATTCATGACCAGGGTACAAATTCATGACAAATGCTTTTTAAATTTTGATCGCTATTTGTAACTTTTAACATTTTTGTTCTTATTTTCCAAACGAATGGCCAACGGTGTCTTATTTAAAAATGTTGAGTGCAAACTTTAATGTGAATTCAGATATTTATTTTCCTATATCAAATCTTCTCTCTAACGTTTTGAAGCCATTTTCTTGTTCTAAAACAATAAATAATAAATACCTACTTTGTGACAAAAGTTCGCTACTGTTTGTGTTACTTACATTGCTAGATCTTACTTTGGTAAATTAAAGAAACCACATTGGGGATATTAAATTTATTCATGTGGCATGTGTTAGTATTGCAGAACGTGCTCCGACTTATTGTAATATTACAAAATATAATTATTGTCCTCAAATTTCACACAAAAACAACCACAACCATTTCGCTTAGTTTATCTAGAGGATAACGCAATCATAAACTCAAAATTTAAAATTCAAATTCAGGATTCTACAATATACATACAACTAATTGACATTTATATTTACAAACTGTCAACTTTTGTCCACGCCTACTTTTAGTCTACAAACGACGTGAACCTTTAGTTAACATCTGAGACGCATAGATGAGGCCATTGTTACTGCGATCGTTGCATTTCCTATCTTTATGTCCCTAATCTCAGCAAAAAATGTAACGTTGCCACCCGCTCCGTTTTCCTTTAATATTTCAAATCTTTTCATTTATGAATCACATAAATAATCAGAATTTTAAACAATCACAAAATGGGCATCTATTTGAGCTATTAGAGTCGTGCTAAATGTACCGTTTTCTGTCTTAAAAATAGGTGCTCATTTAAAAGTGAACGGTAATAGTTGGAAGTTAGGAGATTAGCAAATTATTTAAAAAATATAATGTTGAACTATATGGAAAACTTTATTTTATTCTTTATAAAAGTTAATTCATCATCTAAAACATAAAATGGAATAAGTAATCAAATTTTCATAATTGCAAAACATTTACAGATAATTACAAAAACTAAACTATGTTTGTTGTTTAAGAGTGTCTTTATTTTTGAACATATTGAAATAAGTTGATAATAATTGAATAATATATTTAAAAAAAATACTATCGATTTTTTTTCTTTCACAGTATCGCTGTTACAAGAAAAAAGGTAAAAGAAAATGAAGATAAGTGATATTTGCAAAACTTTTCTATATAACATTTTTTGATATTTTTGAAAATAAAGATACACAACTAGTATCTATAAATAAATTCCAAACTTGCAAGTGTGACATTTCAGTGGTTACATTCAAAATAAACTTGATGTTGTAGACTTCCACGTTTTTTGGGAACCATAGGAAAACGAAGAGGACAACCTATGCTCACTTTCTCTAAAGGACTCTGTGAGAGGCGGATGCCAAAACATCAAACAATAACAATGCTTTGGAAAAGTACTCGAGCAAAATACAACGCACAATAAATAATGCCTATAAGAAATCCTGACTCCTGAGGCTAGTCCAACAAGATCAGGCGACTATCGCATGGTGGTGTTACGAGTTGGATCATCTCAGGACGATTGCTAAAAAATCATTTAATAAGGCAAGAACCACAAAACTCAAAGAGGACTAGGGCACTTAAAAAATTTGCCTCAGAGAATACAAAAAAATCGTTAGACAAAAACAGAGAGGTGCATAGAGAGGCTACTGCGAAGAAATTAAAAATTTCTCGCAGGCAGTAAGGCTTAAATAAGCTCTCTCAAGAGCTCTGCACAGAAGCGTAAGTGCGCTAATCAAAGAAGATGGAATGAAAACTGCAAACCTCGAAGATAGCATCAAACCTCTGCTGTCAACACACTTCCGTGACTCGGGTCATCACAGACGTGGCCGATTGGACAGAGGGAGAATACAACTCTGCTGTCTACGATTGTAAATCTGCCAAACACGTTGTAGTCGAAGAAAAAATTAGATGGGCAATATCTAGCTTTTCTTTTTAAATCGCTAGGACTTGACGGTATCTATCCAGTCCTACTTCAGTGGGGTCAAAAAGAACTCACACCGCACCTGGTAGATATATTCGGATCCTCGTTGGCTCAAAGGTGTATCCCCAAAAAATGGAAAGAGGTAAAAGTGGTTTTCATACCTAAACAGGGAAGGATGGATTACACTGTACCAAAAACATATAGGCTAATTAGTCTGACATCGTTTTCCATGAAGACATTGGAAAGGCTATGCGAAAGGTATATAAGGGATGTGGTGATTACAACACCACTACACCCAAATCAAAATGCATACACCCTACTGATTCAGCCTTTCACCTAGTTGCTGGTCGGATAGAGAGATTCCTGAACAATGAAGAGTCTGCCTTGGGTGTTTTAATAGACATAGAAAGGATTTTGACAAGACTATCTTTGATAATAAATACATTTACTAACCAACAGGAATGCTCCACAGATGGTTAGTGGGCGGATACATAACATGCTCTCAAAGCTTCAATAATGACAGTCTCTACATAATAGCGTATGCAGAAGGCCCGGTCATTCTGCAAACAGGAAATTTTGAGATTATTCTCTTATTACATCAATCTGGAAATAACTTTACAGTTTTTTTTAAACAGATTATAAGTCCGTAAGGCAAAAACTTGTCTTTAGTGTCATTAGTGTGTTAATCATGAATTTCAAAAATTAGAACTAGACAGTTTCGACTAAATTATTCAGCGACCGGTTTGACCAAGTCAACTTGATTGTTGACGTAAAGCTGCTAGTGAAAGAGAGCACACGACACGAAGCAGAGTACTGCATCTGTCGAAAGCGACAATGACAATTTGCTCGAATTACACAACAGATTTTTTCTGCAATATGAATTAAGAATATGCTATTATGGTCCAGGGAAGTTAGAAAAAATAGCGGAAATTTTTAGGGACAGCAGATATCGAGATACGGTTTTCTGCATTGTGTTCAGGAAGGTCCCAGGAAAAAAGTCTATATCGTCTAGTTTAGCCATGTTTTGAAAAATGCCTTCTGGGCCGGAAAATGCATTTTCCAATTGCATCATTACTTGCACCATTAGAGGAACGACTGGAAACTCGGAAAAATCGCTCGGAAATCGTTATTCGTTTTCGGGGCTGCCGAACTCGATTCTGGCATTAGAATTATCCGGGGAGGCTCTGCGGGGGTATCGGGGGGGGGGGGGGGGGGGGGAATTGCATAGTCCATGGGAAGCGCTCCAAACTCGTTACTCGGGGAGTTTTCGGGGATGCCGAATTCAATTCTGGCATTAGATTTCTGTGGGGGTACGCGGGGGACGATTTGAGGGAGAAATGGCAGCGTGCATGAAAATCGCTCCAAACTCGTTAATCGGGGGGTTTTTTGGGATGCCGAATTCAATTCTGACATTGGAATTACCCGGGGGCGCTAGGGGGTGGCACCGCGGGGGTATCCGGGGGGGTAAGTCTGGGTGGGAAATTGCATAGTCCATGGGAAGCGCTCCAAACTCGTTACTCGGAGGTTTTCGCGGATGCCGAATTCAATTCTGGCATTAGATTTCTGTGGGGGTACGCGGGGGACGATTTGAGGGAGAAATGGCAGCGTGCATGAAAATCGCTCCAAACTCGTTAATCGGGGGTTTTTTGGGATGCCGAATTCAATTCTGGCATTGGAATTACCCGGGGGCGCTAGGGGGTGGCACCGCGGGGGTATCCGGGGGGGTAAGTCTGGGTGGGAAATTGCATAGTCCATGGGAAGCGCTCCAAACTCGTTACTCGGAGGTTTTCGCGGATGCCGAATTCAATTCTAGCATTAGATTTCCCCGGGGGTGGCTCTGTGGTGTTGTCTGGGGGTGATGGGGGGATGGCAGCATCCATGAAAATCACTTCAAAATCTTTACTCGGGGGTTTTAGCGGATGCCGAATTCAATTCTGGCATTAGACTTCCCCGGAGGCGTTCGGGGGTGGCTTTGGGGGAAATAATAAAGGAGAAAGTGAAAAATCACAAATTATGAAAATACTACTTTATTCCAATAACAAATAGGAGTTTTTAATAATGTTGAATTATTCATTATAAACTTAGATTTTTAATTTAAATACTAAACATCTTGTTCAAACTCTTCTTCTTCTTCTTCTTCTTCTTCTTTCCCTACTTCATTTTCTTCTTCTTCTTCTTCTTTCCCTACTTCATTTTCTTCACCTTCTTCATCTTCTTCCTCGTCACTATTCTCGGCCCCGATGGAAGCGCCTTTTTGGTTTGAGCAATTGCCATCGCAATGCTTGCATGCAAGTGAGTACTCCAACCCACTTCGGCGGCACCCACACCTCGTGCCACAGTCGGTTTCACAAGAACAAGAAATTTTGTTTAAAATTTCCTCGGGACCGGCTTCCCGGGTTATGCTGAGAGGACTGAGCTCTCCAGCCACCAATTCCCACCCCCATTCCAACGGATCTAAGGTCTCGTCTTGACCTTGTGAACCATACCAAGCCTGTACTTGGAAATAGACCCATATTTTTTCTCTTCAGTTGATACAGAATATTTCTGTTCGCGCCGGTCCCCGTTCTAACGATACTCTACTCTCGTTATAGCTTCGGTGCCTTTTTCAAATCCACTTTCGAGGCACAAGACTTCCAAAGCAATTGTTTTTATAATATGTGTAATATTATTTATTAAATATTCAATCAAAATTTTTATTATTCATACCTCCGGGTAATTCTAATGCCAGGATTAAATTCGGCATCCCCAAAAACCCCCCAAGTAACGAGTTTGGAGCGCTTCCCATGGACTACGCAATTTCCCCCCCCCCCCCCCCAGAATGACTCCTCGGATACCCCTGTAGAGCCACTTTTGAGCGCCCCCGGGTAATTCCAATCCCAGAATTGAATTCGGCATCCTCGAAAACCCCCGAATTCCTAACTTGTTTGCCAACAGGCTCTTGATTTCTTCATTAAAATTATTTGTAACTCAGTTGTACTAAAAACTTTCTGTAGAAAATCCTTTTTTCAATAATGTATGTTATTTTAGTAAAGCCCTTCGACTTTTCTTGCTCTTGTTTGTGTTTAATGCTTGTAAAAACCATCTCATCTACTTTTAAATGTAGGATGGACAAAGCTGCAATTAATTTAATAATTGTGAATATAATAATTGCCGAATAATATTCTAAAATCTTATCATTAGCCTTTAATTTCAGTTTAGGTTTAGGCTCTGATGATTTTTATTTGTAAAAATTGTATTTGCAAACAGCAACACTACAGCTTCCTCCAAACATAATAAAATTTCAAATTATTTCAGGTCATAAACAAAATGTGGTCCGAGTTCGGATCGGAGGCGGTACCCTAACCACAGATTACCCACAAAATGTTTAAAATAAATCATTCATACAATAATATTTTTCTTTGTAATTCAAATAAAAAGTAATTCGTTTGAAATTTTATGGAAATCATTACATGATTTTTCCTTGCTGTTTTGTAGCCTGTCTTTCAAAAAAATCGAACTACCGATATTATAAAAACTCCAACCAATAGTCCAAAAATATAAACCACTAAATTACCATAAAATATTAGATTTTTTTATAAATTAATGTACGAAGTAGAATATTTTCTGTCAACTTGCTTTTTCATTCGGTGACGTCACTTCGTCCTTAGCAACGAAGATGAGGCCACCGTAGTGTCTACGAACCGTGGGCGAAGCCTCTATCGCAAACATGGAATACATTTCTGTATATCTATACAGCCATGAAATTTACATGAACATTTATGTGTAATTTCAATAATATTTGTTAACAGCGAAGTGTTTGTTGACTTTGGTTAAAATTTGAAAGCGCAAAAGCCTTAGAATTCGATTGTAGAAGTAATTTTATCCGTTTTTAAATATACTAGTTCTCTAGACACCAATTGAAGATGCCTTGCTTTAACTATTTTTACAAAAATGTAATAAAAACTCGACGTTGCTAGACTAATGATGCAAACTGTAGAAATATAAAAAACAGTGATGTACTCGTAGATGTTCGAAATTTCGCATTCAAATATACATTTATTTCAGGCATGCCGAAGACATGTTTGGTGAATTGGCGAGAGATGCCCAACAACTCTACGATAGGTCTAACTCGTTACAAGCTCGTATAGATAGGCTAGCAATTAAAGTCACGCAATTAGATAGTACAGTGGAAGAAGTGTCATTGCAGGACATCCATATGAGGAAGGCCTTCAAGAGTAGCGTAGTTTTCGATCAACAGGTAGGATTTTTAAAAATTTTTAAAGGTTATGTAGTTTTTTTTTTTGTATTTTGAAGGCGAAATTCAACGCATAAATAGAGAGTATAATTCTCAAGAATGTTCTATAAAGTTTCTGCGTCCATTTAATTCAATATTTTTTGTCTAATAGAATGGCTCCAGTATACCTTAATACTAACCATATTATTTATTAATTTTATTATTGTAATTAGACTTAACATTACAAATTTTTATTTTCGATAGGAATTCATCAAACTAAGAGAAAATTTGTACATTGTTATAACTGTCACAGAAGGCTTAAGCCTATTTTTATTTTAAAAAACATGGAAAATCAATCTATATAACTATATAGATATATCGAAACTACCAACTGTTAATTGTAATCCATACATCTTTAAAATTAAAAAACTTGTCGCAGGGTTATCTCTAACTGATACATTTATTCGTTTCTTGTGGATAAAAGCTCATATAGGCATAGCTGAAAATGAATATGTCGATAAACTTGCTAAAGATAGTATTAATGTTGGAAATCTACATTCAGACTACAACTTATGCATGTGTGATTACTTTGTTACTCTCAAAACCAAACTACGTTTAATGTGGTCGCATTCATGGATTAAATTTTCTTTCACTAATCCAACAAGATACACATTGTTACATCCGACCATACCTACAAAATATTGGCACACGCAGTTTAATATTCCTCGCAGATTTATCACAACAATCATTAGACTCAAATTTGGACATGCATGTTATCTCCAACATCTTTCTCGTATAAATGTTATCTCCAACATCTTTCTCGTATAAATGTTATACCTAGTGACAACTGTGAACACTGTGGAGGTATAGGTGATCTAGATCACATTTTCTTTGAATGCACATCGTATCAGAATCTGTCAAATGAATTATATAAAAAACTGCAACGTAAATATAACTGTTCCGTTTAATGTATTGTCAATTTTGGCTTCATCTAAAAAAGAAAATTTTGATTGTTTTATAGAATTTTTGTCAAAAGCAGATATAAGATTGTAGTAGATTTGTTACCTTTGTTTTTGACATATCCTAATTACCTTTGTTATATTACCCTACCCACCCCGTGCCCTATTTCTAGTGTGTCTTAAAAAAAATGTCTTGATGTGTCCCTGGACGAGAAACGAGTGTCCTTGTTTATTTCCTTTGAAAAGTATTGTCTTTTTAATTTTTGTTTGTCATGATAGGTTGGTTTAGTTGCGATAGATTAGTTTCGTTACGATGGATTATTATTTTTGTTACCATTGTTGTTTACCATTTATTTTTTATTATATTATTTATATTCATTAAGTGACTGGCTGAATGACAAAAAGTCCAAGCCAAAAAAAATTATATATCGATGGTTTAGTGCACACATGTGTTAAGTAACATTTTGATAATATTTCACACTTTAATTTTAAAGGTTTGAAACTATAGCTCTCTTTTATTTCACATGAAATGTATCTACACACTTCTTCGTTGTTTCTGATTACATAATAAAGCAAAGTAAAGATACATTATTTGTACACAAATAAGTAGGTACAATACATGCATTTAACACAATTTGTCCAAAAATTGCACTTGTGTGCACTAAGCCATCGATATATCATTGACCCTGTCAAATCTATCAGGCCCACAGGCAACCATTTTCATTGGAATACCTAATAGTTCTGATAAATGAAGGTTTTATTATTATTTTGGTATTTGTAACAAAATATTAATAGTATTGTAGGTTCTATGAAGATAATTATATTGTTCAATTATTGCATATGAATATTTATTCAAGAAAAGTTACTTTTTCCTTTATATTGAGAAGTTTACTTAAATAAATTAAAAAAAAACATTAATGGCGCAGCATTAATATTAATATTCTTATGATAAATACTAATTTAAAAAGATTATTACTACTTATGAAAACTGGTTTGCACATATAATCTACTTGCATGTTGAAACGCACAGAGTACAGACATTCTTAGGTACAAAATAGTACCGATTTCTGTAATTATTATTTCAACATTCTTTATAATAATAGTATCTGGTTAATTGATACGAAACTGTTGTAGTCTTGGAGGTATAAGTATATTTTTTTCATTTCAAGAAAAAGGGTTAATTTAATGACAATTTTTATAACTCGTAGTAATTTCTGGTAGGGTAGGATGATCAAATAAATTAAATACATTTTATATTCAATGTTTTCACTATTTTTGAATATTTTTTTTTGTAATAAAGCTTAAAAATTAATTTATCTTAATTAACTAGATAATAGTTTAATTATGGATTTACCGAATATTTGATAAAATAGATGTGCAAACTACAAACTAATGGATAGGTTTTGTTTAAAATTGGTATTCATGACTTTTTTATTATTTCATCATATTCTATGGTCAAAAATTTGTGGAATTCATATTTATTTCCCTATACTTATTTTTTACATTTCCTTACATATCGAGAGGTGTGAAGTCAGGGAATCGTGGTGGCCAAAGAAAAGAGCATCGATTGCTTAATCGTCGATACGAAAAATTATTGATTAAAAATTGACGTACAAGGTTTATCTGGGTATCTTGCAGCAAAATAATCACAAGTTCTTTACGCAACTTTATTAGAGTCATCATAATTTATTATTTAATTTGTTTCACCCTAGCTTTATTGGGCTTGACATTTACTGCCTTCGATCATGGTGGACTGTATGACTGTATTCGAAATAGATTACCTGGGGTGAAGGCCTTATGCTCCACCCTGTAGCCTCTGGAAGATACTCTTGAAGTTCTAGTTGAAGCACTGGGTTTATTCAAATAAAACTATCACCCTATATTTGAATTTGATATATTCACGGCTTGCTGATTTCACATTTTACACATTTACTACTTGGTTACATAAATTTATTGATCGATTACATGTTAACTTCTGTAAATCAAATCGCTCAAATGCTTTAAATTAACTTACGGCGACTTCCGGCCCTTTTAAAGAGTTTTACTTGTTGTTTGTTTGTCTGACTGAGCGAAATTGAGCGTTTTGTTTTTCGATGCAAGCTTGTTAGTTCGCATAGGTTTTACCGGCTTTATTCTAATTGGTTATCTAGCCTTATGAATGCGCGCGAGAGTCATGATTGGGTGAAAAAATCTCGTGTGACTTTGTTTTGATTGTTTGCGAATTCGCAGGTGTCAGGTGTCTGAAGGTTATTTGAAAGTTAACCGGTTTGTTCTTTCACAACTTTAGATAATTAGTTTAAGGCTGTATGTCACGATACTTAAGTTATTAATTTAGTACTAAATTTAGAACTAAAAATTTTTTTTTTCCGTTTGCAACGATACCAATTTTTAGTACTAAATTTATTATAGGCGCACGCGCATTGACGTATTAATACGTGCAATTAACAGAGAAATGAAATATTCTGTGTAAAACAGACAAGTAAATGGTGTTTTTATTATCAATTTGACTAGTTGATTTGACAACAATCAAATACAGCATAAAAACCACGAAAAAAACACAATAAAACCTACAAAATCAAACAAGCGAACTTTATTCAAGGCGATAATGTAAAATTGTCGCTAAATTAAAATAAAAGGGTACAGAAAATACCGTCGTGACAACTTTTTCTATGAAAAACTTCTGCGCAACATTTCAGCGCACTTTTAGTACTAAATTTAGTAGAAAATAGAAAAAGATTAATTAATTACTTTTTTTAGTACTAAATTTGCTGTTTGCAACGTGAATTTTTTTAGTACTTAAAAAATGCATTAATTTAGTTCTAAATTTAGTACTTAATTTAGTATCGTGACATACAGCCTTTATACAGGGAGTGTCTATCTAGTATTTTATTCTTTTTGTTAAGTGTGGAGGTTTATACAGGGAGTGTCTATCTAGTATTTTATTCTTTTTTGTATTTGAATGCTGATTTAGATTAGCGGATAGGACATGTTGAATGTAATTTCAACATAATTTATGAAATCTTTATTAGAGTACTCATATGCCGTCTTTGCGTTAAAATAACGGAAATCATTAGATTACGATTGAAAAAATAAAACATTCACAACGATTTTTTTTAAATTTTTTACGTGAATTTTGACGGTAAATTTTAAGACGCCTACAGACGCCTACTTGTTATTTTATATCTTTATATCCACTTATTTTTGACAATCGTTAATTATACTATTTCTTAATTACTACTTCTTCATCATAATTCAATTAAATAACTCAAATTTTATCTAACTTTAGGCAAAAATAAATATTTTAATGACCATAATGGTAATTGGCTTTTCGAAAATATATATATATTTTTTTATATAAATTAACAATAATTATTATAGCACAAGAGCCCACTGCAAATTTTTAACGTCATCTGATAACGAAATGAAATATACCCCAAAAGCATGTGAAAACATTGTACTTTACCAAATGGCACCTGTGCCAATCCCAATCCTGAGCAAAGTGGCTTAAAAAATTATTTTCTTTTAAAAAAATCACATAACGCATGATATCGCTAATTTTGTTTGTCCTTAAAGTTTTCCAGAAAATAACATTCAAATATATCTTGATATATATCGTTAAAGGGAAACATTTTTCCTCTTAACATCACACAAAAACATCTATCCACGCTTAGTAGGTAAAAATCATTAAAAATATGAATTACTTTTTGCTGATATAAAAATTTCTTTGTATGCCTATTGTTTTTTTTTTAATTTGGTGTCATCGGCTTCGACAACTAAGACCATTAGCCTCGTGTTCTGGGTAGGCTTTGTTACTGTTTCCTAGCGCCACTTTAGGAACATAACTGTTAATTAGAACCCAACAGTGAATGGTCGAGTGGGGAATCCTACCAAGGCATCAGAATTAATTTTAAATAATTAAATTAAATAAAAAAATCTCTGCCAACGGTAGGATTCGAACCTGGGACCCTTGGATCTACAGGCAGAGACTCTACTACTGAGCCACCCACCCCATATGCCTATTGTTGTGATTAATTTTTACAGGTTGCCATAGAAACGACAAAAAAC